AAAAAAAAAAAAAAACGAAAACAACAGGTGTTGGTCAGGTTGTGAAGAAACTGGAACCTTTGTGCAGCGCTGGTAGGAATGTAAAATGGTACAGCCACTGTGGAAAACAGTTTGGCAGTTCCCCAGAAAGTTGAACACAGAACTACTATATGATCAGCAATTTCAATCCCACGTACATATCCAGAAGTGAAAGTAGGAAACGCAAACTGAAATCTGTACACCAATGTTCATTGCTACACTTTCTGCAACAGTCAAAAGGTGGAAACAACCAAAATGTTCATCAACGAATGAATAGCTAAACAAAATGTGGTATACACGTAACAATGGCATATTACTCAGCCATAAAGAGAAATCAAGTCCTGCTGCATGCCACAATAGGGATGAACCCTGAAAACGTTATGCTGAGTGAAAACAACAAAGTCGCAAAAGAACAAATACCGTAACATCTCACCTACTTGAAATAAGCAAATATATAGAAACCAAAGATTATTAGGGATTACCAGGGATGGGAGGAAGGGGAAAACAGGAAGTTTTGCTAAGGTGGCATTGAGTTTATGTTAATGGTGGGGTGGTAGAATAATCTGGAAAATCACAGTGATAATGGTTACACAACATGAAGACTGTAATCAATGTCAGCTGAATTAAACATGTAGAAACTGTTGAATTGGTGAATGTTTTGTTGTGTGTATTTTCATTTCAATAAAAAATAAATAACATTGTCTTCCACTGAAATCTCTGTAAATATTTAAAATAGATAAATAAAATAATTTATACAAAGCTGAATACAGTCTTACATACGACCCAGCAATCATGTTCGTGGGTATTTACCCAAATGAGTTGAAAAACATATGTCCACATAAAAACCTGCGCATGAATGTTTATAGCAGCTTTACACATAATTGCCAAAAATTGAAAGCAACCTAGATGTTCTTCAATAAACAAACTGTGGTACATGCATACAATGAAACATTATTCAGTAATCAACAGAAATGAGCTATCAAGCCATGAAAAAATATGGAGGAACCTTAAATGCATATTGCTAAGTGAAAGAAGCTGGTCAGAAAGGCTACATACTATATGATTCCAATGATATGACATTCTGGAAAAGGCAAAACGATAGAGACAGTAGTATATCAGTGGTTGCCATAGCTGATCAGTGGCTCAGGGAAGGCCAGGAGGGATGAGCAGGTAAAGCACACGGCATTTTAAGGCCAGTGAAAATATTCTGAAGGATACCGTAATGGTGGATACATGGCATCACACATTTGTCAAAACCCACAGAACTATACATTACAAAATGTAAACCCTAATGTAAACTACGCATTCCAAATTATTCCTAACAATAATGTATCAGTACTTGTTTATTGGTAACAAATGTACCAAACTAATGTATGATGTTGATTATAGAGGAAACTGGCGGGGGCGGGGGGGGGGCACGGTATACAGGAGCTTTCTGTACTTTCTGCTTAGTTTTTCCATAAACCTGAAATTTCCCTAAGGAGCCTTGGTGGCACAATGGTTAAGTGCTCAACTGCTAGCCAAAAGGTCAGTAGTTCAGATCCACCAACTGTTCCTTGGAAATCTTATAGGGTAGTTCTACTCTGTCCTATAGGGTCGCTATGAGTCAGAATCGACTCAACAACAATGGGTTTGTTTGTTTGTTTTTTAATTGATTAATTAATCAATTTATATTACTTTGCTTATACCTCTAAGTTCTGATTATAGTCTCAGTTCAAGTAACCTTGAAAAAATAGTTCAATTATCGACTTTATCTACCAATTACTCCTTGGTTTATAAAGCAAAACCAAAATGTAAAAATAATAATGCTCCAGTAAAGCCAACCACTGACGGTTCTCATGTGGGTGACTCTGACTACACTATCATCCCGGGATTGGTGGTTTGCTGGTGCCATGGTAGGTTCCCTGCTTCTTTCCATTACTTATCATACTCTCCTCCCTCCCCTCTGATAACAGAAAATGCTAGCAAGGCACAAGAAAAGAGAATTTTACCTCCAGGCATTCTGATCAGTAAGACTTACCTTAATAGTTAAACTAAGTGTATACCATTTTTTTGCAGTAACATCAACATGTCCTAAATGATATATGAACCATCCAGCTGTAAAACAAAAAAATTATCCTGAGATTTTTTTAAATCTAATCACAGAATCACATAACTCAGTGGAGAGCTCTCAAGTGGCACATGTGTGTTGTAAAGTCCATCCTAAAAATGAACCACGTCCCTTTATTGCCACGCGTGTTGAATAAGCACGTATTGAGATCCTGCTCTGAGCCACGTACAGTGGGTGGGCCCGCAACAGAATGGGTGGGGTAAACTCGCAAACTAGCCACGCATGATGCATTAGAGCCTATAATTCTGACTGGAATGAATACAGAGGATGAGGAGGAGCAGTCAAAGTCTACAAGACTTTCAGCTAGTGTAACTGGTTATGCAGAAATGGCATTGACTGAGAATTAGGGGGAGACGGTGATTTTATTTTTGGATTTACTGCATTTGAATGCCTGTGAGAAATCCAGGATGAGATAAAATACAGTTTAAAATAAAGAACAGCAGGGACTGGAGATACAGATTTAAATTTCTACTTCCAATTTTGCCACTAATTAGTTTTGATACCTTAGATAAATCAATTAACCCCAGCTCTCTGTTCTGGTTTGGAAAGATCAGTGAGGTACCTTTTAGATCAGTTATGCTATCATTTTGCAACTCCTATTCTAATGCCCTTACTACCTGTTCCCTTTTTAATACATTGGGATTGTTATTTACAGAGCCTCTTTATGCCTCAGAAAGAGGCAATGAGCAGCAAACAATAGAAGAGATAAAATTATTAACGAAGCAAGAAATTATAGAAGGTGAGAACCAAGAAAAGTTACAACCAATAAGGTCTAGCTTCAATGGAGCAGTGTGGAACAAAATTCAACATGAATATATACTCTAAGTACCTATTCTGGATAAAATACATTCCACCTAAGACACATGAATTGGAATCAACTGGATGGCAACTGATTTAACTAAGACAAGGGCTGTTAAAATCATTGAGACAACTCATTTTCAAGCTATTAACTAAGTTAGAAAATAGGGTTTCTCCATTTTAAGCAGGTCAATCTTTCTCTCTTTATTTCCATAAACACACGAACAACATTCTTATAGTCTTGCTTTTATTTAACGTTTGTTTCCTAAGCATTTTCTCCCCATTACCACCACCTCCCCAAAGTGTATGCAAATCCCACCTCACAACCCACCTTCGCTCTACAATACCCTAAAAAGCTTTGTACAATTATTTTAGCTTTTACTAAGCTGGTCTACTCTGTACTACTTAAATAACTCTATAATCTTGAATTCTTTGGTATTTGCTTTGCATGTGCTGAATCCCTTCCTCATTAGATGTCCAAGTGCCCCAAGGTACAGTTCTTTTGTCGCTCCCACAAGCTACAAGCAGATGCTCAAAATAACACATCAGATAGTAAGCCCTCAATAAATGTTTTTGGGTCATGTGCTATAAAAGAAGTCACTTACCTATGTCACCTGTAACTCTGTAGGTTCCGTTTGCAAAAATCCAGAAAAAAACTCCTCTGGCACTTCTAATCAAAATCCCACCTTTATTTACTCTTCCAGCAATGAACACACCTCCCCTGTCAGGGGTCTCTATGTAAACATCACATGTTATAGTCAGATTGCTCCTGCAGAATGAAACTGGTGGTTAGTACTCTTAAATCACTAATCTAGCACAGACGTGCCATTTCACAGCCACATGCTCCCAAACTTCTATTTAGGGTAGAATCTGATTTGCTAAGTAACGGGGATGGGCTTCAAGAATCTTCATAATAACGGTTTTGTAACTAAAGTCTTACGTGATCAAAATCAAGTCATTCCATTGTCTCTTTTAATGGGCTTCTGAAAAATAGTATTTACTGTTTAAAGTTTCTGAAGAGTATGTTTCTTGTCTCTATACAATGAAACAACTTTTCACCCTAGGAACATAGTACAAAAGCAAGCCACTTTTACTACGGACATAAAAAGTAAAAAAGCTCGAACACAATTCTGAATAAAACAGTTCAATCACATTTCCATCAGCAAAGAGAAGCAGTGAAGACAACGGTAGGAGTCTCTGGGAACAAACTGCTTTGGGCTAATTTTTATATTTAAACCTAGTAAGACTTAAATTCTAGAAGAAAGATCAAAAAGTGTTTTGCTACAAAGAAAGAATCAACTCTACGCTGACTCTTCAGCAGTGCTTCTCAAAGTTGACAGTATCGAAATCATCTGGAAGGCTTGTTAACTCAGATCGCTGGGCCCCACCCCTACAGTTTCTGATCCAGAAGATGTTTTAGGCTAAATAATGTCTCCCCAAAGAAATCTACATCCTAACCCCTAGAACCTGTGAATATTATCTTATATGGCAAAAAAGGGGCTTACAGACGTGATCCTGAGATGAGGGGATTATCCTGGATTATCTGAGTGGGCCTTAAATGTAATCACATGTATCCTTAAAAGGGTGACTGAGGGAGATTAGACACAGAGAGAACAGGAGAAGGCAATGTGACCATAGAGGCAGAGATTGGAGTGATGTGGCCACAAACCAAGGAACGCTAGCAGCCACCAGAAGCTGGAGAGGCAAGGAACAGATTCTCTTCTAGAGCCTCTGGAGGGAGCATGGCCCTGCCAACACCTTGATTTCAACCCAGTAAAACTGATTTTTGAACTTCTAGCCTCCAAAATTGTTTAAGAGACTAATATGTGTTGTTTTAAGCCACCAAGTTTGTCGTCACTTGTTATAAAAACCATAGGAAACTAATACAGTAGATATGGGGTGGAGTCTTGAATTTGTATATCTCACAAATTCCCAGGAGATGCCGATACTGCTGGTCCAGGGATCCCACTTTAAGAAACACTGGCGTGCAGTACATCTCCATATAGAGAGACAGTAAAACTCCCATTCTGGGGTCACCAATCTTCAGAAGCATATCAAAGGAGAGAAAAGATTCAGGTGACCAGGAACTACCAGAGCTTTTACAATAACTCTCCTCCAATCTGCCTTTTAAAAATGCTACTAAATACAACACTTCCTTTGGGAGATGACTATCCCACCCATGTTATCTCTGAAAATAATTCACTTCCTACTCAATGACTAATTGCAACTGAGAAGAAAAAAGAAAGACTGCACACAACCAAGTAATAAAGCAAGCGATTCGTCTGAATTGAAAAGTTGAGACCACCAAGAAATATATTTTGGAAATGGAGGGAAAATTTGCTCTAGAATTATGTGGTTTTTCCATTTCTCAGAGTTTCTTTTTATGAGTCAATTTTTCACAGTGGGTTTATATTATTTAAAGGAGAATACAAAAAAGAAACATCTCAACAGGTACATAATCAGGGAAATGCACGTTTAATCATCTTATCAGAGCTGGGCTATCTGACTTCACAGGAAGAGCAAATGCTAAGTGACTGAAGTTGAGTCTCTCTTGTGCGTCCCGACGTTAGAAGGATTCTTCTCCCTCTACAGATTACCCCCAGCATGACACCAGCTCTGATCAACACTGTTCCTACACTCCCTACCTCCTTCCTGGTGTGCATCAAAAGTTTAAAAGCGTTACAGATACTCTCAGCACCATAAAACTATTCTATTTAGAGTTCGAACAAGCAAAGATCAAACTTTTTACTTCTTTATACATCACATTGCAGAATAAGTGATTCTTGCAAGAGAACTTGATAATTTTCCAGATAATGAATGAAATAGAATAAAAGTGCACTTTATTCTTCCATAACCACTATCTCTTCAGTAGCACTGAGAGAACAATAACTAGCCAATGTATTAGGAATCTGATAGAAAGGAAGCAGAGTTCAGATATATGCAGTGAAAGCCAATTTTGTGGTTGCCTTCTAACCCCAACCAAAGCTTACTAACAAGATGGAAAGTTTCAAACAGCTTGGGTAAGTCTATTCCTGATGTCAAATTACTGGGCTTGTACTTTACTAAATCTGAGCAACTAGTCCCTGGGTGGTGCAAATGGTTAAGCACTGGACTATTAACTGAAAAGTTGGAGGTTCAGACTCACCTAGAGGCACCTGGCGATCTGCTTCCAAAAAGTCATAGCCTTGAAAACTCTATGGAGCAGTTCTACTCTGCACACCTAGTGTCACCATGAGTCAGAATCAACTTGACAGCAACTAACAAAAACAAGAAGTTCTACTGCAAAGTACAACTCTAAGAACTGCTGGTGGACTATCTAGAGTAGCATTATAAACCCACTGCCATCAAGTGGATTCTGACTCATAACAAACCTGTAGGACAGAGCAGAATTGCCCCATAGGGTTTCCAAGGCTGTAATCTTTATGGAAGCAGAATGCCACATCTTTCTCCTGCAGAGCAGCTAGTGGGTTCGAACTGCCGACCTTTCCGTTAGCGGCCAAGTGCTTAAACACTGCACCACCAGCACTCCTTCTATATAGTAGCACTGTAGATAAACTAATTTTTCCTCCCCTAACTCTTAGGAAGACAACGATTAGAACTAGGCTGTGAGGTGGAGTCCAAAGAGAGACCTGGCTTCTAGTCCTGGTTGTGCCACTTAGAAGTATGGAATCTTGGGCAAATCACTTATCTGGAGCTTCAGTTTCCTCATCTATAAAGTGGCAAGAATGACACCTCCAGCACAGGGTAGTTATGGAAGGTTTATAGAAGTGTTCAATATTGCCCAATGTTTGTTCCTCCCCTTTCCCACAATAGGAGGGGCATCGCAGCCAGAGAACATGGGATGTGTGTGGATCTATGAACAGAACTGGCCACCTGGAATGAGGATGGAATACTGGGAAGTAACACATGATAAACAGAATGAGACCAAATTATAAAGGGTCTTGGAAGTCAGGCACAGAAGTTTAGCTCTGACTGGGTAGCAGGAGAGCCACTGAAGATTCCTGAGCAGCACAATGACGTGGCAAAAGCGGGCTTCAAGGCAGGTGAAAACAAGCAGTCCTTTCCTGACATACCTAACGGCTATCCTCTGGTTCCTTTCCCTTCAGAATGTATCCTCTTCCTCTCTCTCTCCCGTCATGCTTTCCCATTTCCCTCTTCCCTACTCCTGACCTGCTGCAATAGATCCTAGTTAAGTCTGAATATTGTCATTTAAATACTGAAAATCTTAAAATT